AAAACAGAATTAAACCAGTTGGCAAAGATGAGAAATAGACAAGAATAGTCATGGCAACATAGAATGATGCTGGTATTTTAGGATTAAGAGAGGCCTATAGGAGAACTGATGATTTCTGAAGATTGCAAAAACAAAGTTAGCTTTCAATGATCACATATAGCTAAGATTTGAAATAAAAGTTGTTGAATCAAATAATCACAAAACTAGTTGGAAAAACATCCCCCGGAAGTCAACATTTGTTTCATTCTTCTTTTCCAGAATTAAAGCCAGTTGGAAACATCATGGAACTCTGTGATTATAAAAGCGTATATCTTGTGTTAAATAAGAAATGGCGTGCTGATGTTGAGAGAGCTTACGTTATTTTCAACATGAGATTGTAATAGTTTTTTCACCACTGTCTCTGACACTTTGGTTCCCATTTTAAGTGGACTCCATCCTGTGCTTTCCCCTGGTACCAGCCACCCTCGGGTGGCGTGGCTGTGCTGACCCCCAGGGCTCCAGGACCTGGCTGTTTATGGTTGTCTCCCGCTCTCAGCACTGAGTCCGCTTCCATGTCACTGCAATAATGGCATCTGAAGCTTTTGTGTAGCACAGATCGGTAGAGCAGCCAGTTGCTATAACTTTCAAAAAGTGAGAGAAATAGGAACAGATAATAGAGGACGCAGACTTGTAAAATGTTACCGCTGCAAAGGGACCTTCCAGTCCCCCAGTGTCCCTCCTCCTCGCTTGGCAGTGGGGGAAAGCGAAGAGCCCAGAGGCAAGAGCTTGCTGTGGGCTGCGGCAGAGCCATTGCTGCACCTGGGGCTCTGGACTTGAGCTTCCTTCTCAACGGCGCTCCCGCACTGAGAGCAGTTCTAAACTCTGTCGCTAAGGCGGAGTTTGCGTCATCAGCGACCTCACGTGCACTCGCAGTGGCTCAGCACTGGGCTGCATCGAGGAACCTAGGCTCTAGATGCAGTCTGCCTGGGGTGGAACGAAGCCCTCATACTTCCTGGCTGAGTGACCTTGGCACGCTTCGGAATCTACCTCTGTGCTTCAATTCCCTCTATATTTTCTGAGTGCCTACTCTGTGCCAAGGGAGAGTAACAACCTTAATCTCAGAATGCCTGGATTCAGTGAGTCTTTATATAAACTACTTAGAGTGTGGCCTGGCTCATAGGAATCTCTCTGCCATGCTCACATGAATCAGTAAGGGACCCAGCAAATCACCACCAGGGCTCAGAGCTAAGCAGTGAGAATCAGGGTGCAAAAACAATCAACAGCGACTGACCACTTGGCCCCCTGATGGCCTGGGGCTGCCCAGATGAGGCCAGAAGCTCCTAAGGGCTGTAGTCTTTCTTCTTCTGTGGGATTTGCTGTATGCGTGTAAATACTGAACTTGAAGATTCAGTAAGTCTGTAGTTCCTTCAAGGTGGTTCTCAACTGTGGTCTTTTTGTGGCCTCTTCGGAGCCTTGAGCTAAAATTTAATTCAGGTATTGTTAAGATGTCAGAACTGGGTGAACCCAACCATGTTCGCCAGTCTGATTTTTTAATAAGGCCAACTGGTAGCTGTTGGACTAGCAGGTAGCAGAGTCTTAAAGACTGAAGGTGTGACAAGGAGCAGCGCTGTTTGGCGAGCCCAGACAAACCATCGCTTCAAATACAGACTATACATCCATGCCTACAGGCACACAAACACACATGCTGCCTGGACCATCACACTTCCTATCCCACGCTGCAGGCAGATTGAAGTCCACACACGCTGAATTTCTTCACAAAATTGCTCAAAAAGATACCAGTCACAGAAAATGTGCATCTAAACCCAGAAGTATGACAACTCTATTTTAATAAATGCATTTGTAAAATAAATCTGATCTAATTTTCCTGAAGTCCAGATTCCAGGCTAGTTTGCATAGCTTATCAATGCTATTCTGCAACTGTCCTGAGAGGTATATTTTTCAGCTTTGCTTAGAATTCCCTTTCAGTTTTACACAGGAAATGCTAGGCACTCAGCTAAATTACAGAATGAGACTCTGAAGAACACAGGCAATGCTACAAATATGTCTCTGCTCACTCCGCCCTATTGCATTAGATTAGGTAGTGCTATATTTTATCCTTGTTTGCAAGGTGCTGAAATATTGAAACTATTATAAGATCAGTCCTCTGAGGGGAGGGTGGGGGAAGAATGGGGGCAGTCACCCCAGAAGGCTCCTGTTACAGGATTCTGAAGCTCCTGACATTTCCTACTAAACATTAGAAAAACAGAGGAAACAAGAGGCTACAATTGAACGTCCAATGCAAATGGAATTAAACTGTGCAAATCCCTGGGGAATGGGGAAAATCCAGTTAAGCTTTTGTTTTTCTGCAAATATATCAATCATTCTCTCAATATTTATTGAAAGGCAATAAAAGGGTGGGGTTAAGAGCTTAAGCTTTGGAGTCAGAAATATATGGAGTGAAACCCTGGCTCTGAAACTTTCTGACTACTGTGAGGTCTTTGTCAGGTTTCAAGTCTCTCCAAGTCTCTGGCTTGTCAGTTGTAAAACGAGGAGATTATGAGAATAGCACTTCCCCCACAGACTTGTGAGGAGAAATCTGATAATACATACAATATACTTCACATTGCTTGGATAGTCTTTAAAGAGCTATTAATTTCGGGGCTGGCGCCGTGGCTCACTTGGTTAATCCTCCGCCTGCAGCGCCGGCATCCCATATGGGTGCCGGGTTCTAGTCCCGGTTGCTCCTCTTCCAGGCCAGCTCTCTGCTATGGCTCAGGAGGGCAGTGGATGATGGCCCAGGTCCTTGGGCCCTGCACCCGCATGGGAGACCAGGAGGAAGTACCTGGCTCATGGCTTCAGATCGGTGCAGAGCTGGTCATAGTGGCCATTTGGGGAATGAACCAACAGAAGGAATACCTTTCTCTCTGTCTCTCTCTCTCTCACTGTCTACCTCTACCTGTCAAATAAAATATTTAAATAAATGAAAGAGCTATTAATTAGGGTTAGTATTGTGGAGCAGAGTGTTAAGCTTCCACCTGCATCCCATGTGTGTGTTGATTTGAGTCCTGGTTGCTCTATTGCTGATCCAGCTCCCTGCTCCTGTGCCTGGGAAAGCAGTGGAAGATGGCACAATTACCTGGACCCCAGCAGCCCGTGTAAGAGACCTGGATAGAGTCCCAGGCTCCTGGCTTTGGCCTGGCCCACCCTTGCCCTTTGAGGCCATGTGGGGAATGAACTAGCAGATTGTAAATCTGTCTCTCTCTTTAAATCTACAACTCTGCCTTTCAGATAAATAAAGTAAATCTTTTTATAAAATAGAACCATTAATTTGCTACTTATTTATTGAGTGACTACTGTGTACAGGCAATGAATAAAACCAAGTCCCCAATATCTTAGCCATATGTCCTAGTTAAGGAAACAGAAAATGTACCATCCATCCCCCATAGAAAAATGCAATATACCATAAAACTTGTGATCACAAAAAAATTTAAGCACTGTAAAGAGATACAAACAGAGTTGAGTAGGGTTGCTACTTTTTATAGAGTGTGCGGGGAAAGTCTTTATGATAACACAGTATTTAGGATTTATTTATTTGTTTGAAAGTCAGTGATACAGAAAGAGAGGGAGAGACACATGGAGAGAGATCTTCTATCTGATGGTTAACTCCTAGATGGCTGCAATTGCTGAGCCTAAGTCAGGAGCTGGTAGCTTCTTGTGGATCTCCCTCATGGGTGTCAGGGGCCCAAGCACTTGGACTATCTCCCACTGCTTTTCAAAGCTATTAGCAGGGAGCTGGGTTGGACACGGGGCAGCCAAGACATGAACTGGTGCAGGTGCCCATATGAAAGGCTGGTGTCATAGGAGGTGGCTTTACTCACTATGCTGTAATACCAGCCCTGACAACATGATTTTAAGCAGAAACCTAAAAGATCTAGGGATCAGGATTTGCAGACACACAGGAGTCAAGTATTTCAGGCAGAGGAAACACTGCACCAGGCCCCAAGGCAGGAGAAGGCAGTGGGAAGTGGAGAGACCGATGTGAGGCCAATGTGAGTTCAGCAGAGGGAGGCGTGCAAGGAGCTAGGGCAAGAACAAAGAGGTGGTTGTAGTTGGCAAGGAGTTAGAATTTGGTACTGAGTGAGCTTAGAAGTCACAGGAGTGTTTCAAGCGAGAAGTGATGAGAGCTTTTAGAAAGCTCCCCTGCTTTTGGAGTACAGCATAACCTGCAGGCAGCAAACGGACTAGTTGGGAGGGTTTGCATTAATCCCAGCCAGACATGGTGCTGGCTTGGACCAAGGGTGAAATAGAAGGGAGGATGTGATCTTCAAAGTCTGGATGCAGTTTAGAGGTAGATCCAAAAGGATCTGCTTACGAGTTTGGTATGTGGTGCAGGAGGGAGAGAAAAGCCGAGCTTTTAGGCTAATGCAGGAAATTCAGGGACTTCAGCTTAGATGTACAGGGTATCTGGAGTGGGAAATCCAGTGTTAGAGAGCTCTGCGTTAGTCAACACCCTTTTCAATCTTCTCTTCCTGCCTTGCATTGGAGTAGAAACTGAAAACTGAGCCGCTCATATTCCCAACTTCCCTTATGGTGGAGAGCAATCACATGGTGGAGTTCTGGCTGGTAACATGTAAGTCAATGTGCCTGGCTGAATTTCCTGGAAAAAAAACAGAGCAAAACAAGGCCTGGCAGCAGGAGGTGGTGGGGGCCTTTCTCTCTACTTTTCAGTGTTTCTACTTTCTTCCTGGAATGCAGAAGGCATACCTGGGTTGCAGAAGCCATCCTTAATGTTACAAACTAAACAAGAACTGTAAGGTTGGGAGAGCTGGAAGCTAGAAGCCGGAAGGTGAGAGGGACAGTGAGGTTATCACTGAGCCATAGTGTCAGGCCAGGCCTTGCAGCCTCCAGGGTACTTGGTGCGTGACATTAATAAGCCTACATGATTGAGCCTGTGCTGATCAGGCTTTCCCCTATGCATGGCAGAATGTGCTCTTAGTGGATGCAAATCTGTACTCAACATCTCAGTGGAGATGTTCACCGCACCACAGGGTGAAGGCAGGCAGCAGCGGCTGTGTGAACTTGGCCTTGAAAGTGTGCAGCAGCTGTTTGGTGCGGGCGTTGTAGAACGACAGGAGGTCTTGCTGGAAGTCGCAGTGCACGCCCAGGCAGTCGGGCACGGGGGCGTCCAGCACCTTCACCTTGTTGGCGTGCTTGGCCACGAAGCTGACCTGCAGCCAGTTGTCGACGTGCAGGCAGCAGCACGCGGCGGTCTTGCCCAGCTGCTGGAAGCGGCTCAGGCTGCGGTAGGCCACGCCCACGCCGAACGCCTTGCCGTCCGGCTCGTAGCGGACCTCCCAATAATGCTCACCGCCATCGCTCAGCATGTCCCCCAGCACCGTGTAGAACTCGGCCTTGAAATGGTCCCGTCCCCCGCGACCGGAAGGCATCCTCTTGGGAGATGGGTTACTCCCTGGCCTGGGAGTTGACAGGAGACGCCCTCCGCCCCTTGCCGTCTTTCTCACGAGCCTTGATGTCCTGTACCTTCCCGCCCATGGTGTCCCACTCCACGGAGAGATTGTCCACTCGCAGGTTCTAATGGGATGTGGACCCTTCCAGGGGGTACATGAATACTGGGGTCTCCAGGGTCACCGGCTCGGAGAACTCCCTTGCCACGGCCTTGTTACAGGCCTTCGCGCAGAAGTTCATGAACTTCACGTCAAACTTGAGACCGGTCAAGATGTACTCGGTCGGCCTCATGCCCTCGATCACCATCCAGGGCTAGCCTTCCTTGAGATGCGGCAGGCCCTCTGTGGGGAGCAGCTCGGACTAGACTGTTACTGGAATTAAGACTTATTCTATGCATCTGCTCTCCCACAATATGGCGCTGGGAGAGAAGTAAACAGCTTCCGCACAGCTGCCTCCAGTTCAACCAATTAACTGTAGGACTTGCTCCTGATTGGAGGAGAGCAGCGTACTCGGCGTGTGGGCAGCCGAGTTGGGATTGGCGGAGGAGGACTATAAAGGAGGAGAGAGACGGCATGCACCAGGAACATCTATGGGGAACATCTAAGGGAACCTGTGCAGCCCCCGAGAAGAGCCGGCCGGCGGTGTGCCGCTCCCCTGCGGAAGTGGGGAATGCGGCCAAGGGGAACCGCCCTTCCACGGAGGTGGAAGGGATAGTAGCCAACCCGGGGGGAACCAGCAGCAAACCCGGGGAGGGCCGAGCAGATGAAAGAACAGCGCAGGGTCCTGTGTTGCTCCTCCACGAAGAGGGGGAGCGACATAATGGTGCCGTGACTCGGATATGAAGCCTAGGCAGGGTTTAGTGTCGTTCCCCCATGAAGACGGGGAGCGACAGCCCTCGAAGTTGGTCCGCCGGTACTCCCACACGTAGTGGTCTAACTTGCTGTCCTCGTCCGTTACGTGCCACACCAGGTTCATGCGGCTGTTGGCCATGAGGGACTCAGCCAAGCCGATGACCGGCGCGCTGGGCACAGGCAAGAACTTGAGTGCCTGCAGAATCTGCCGCTCCTGGGCGAAGTCCACCATGAAGTGACTCATGTTGTCGCTGGCTTTGGCTTTCAGGGACAGGCGGAAGGCAGTGGTCATGGTGTCCCCATTTTTGATCTGCTTGGCAGCCTGGGGGAAGCCTTGGCTGTCGGTGGCCTGCAGGGCCTGGTTGGCTGTCCCCAGCAGCTCCTCAGAGCTCTCCAGGGCCCGCGTGCAGGCTGCAAGCTGGTTCTGCAGCTCGTAGGTGCGGCTGGCGCGGTCCTGTTTGATTTTCATCAGCATGCTCTCTTTCAGCTCCTCCAGCAGCGAGAACAGGGACTGGAACTCCGCCTCCAGGTCCTCCTGCACCTTGGCCGAGTTCGCCTCCACATTCAGCAGCATCTGTTTGAGGGCGTAGATGATGCTCTGGATCTCTTCGTTCTTCACGGCCAGCGTCATGATGCTCTTCCTCAGCACCTCCCTCTGGTCCTCCATGGCTGCAGCCTGGGTCACCCCGGCCCCGCCTGCGGGGCCCCGCCCGCTTTCAGTCCCCAAAGCTGCCTGGGCCGCGGCTGGGAGCCAATGGCCCGCCTAGCCCTCTCTGCCACCACCGTCCCCCCCACCCCACCTTTTTTTTCATAAAACTTTAACTTGAAAAACATTTTTTACAAAATAAACTTCTTCCAATCAAAGAAACGTTCTTATAGGGTACATGTGGCTTTCTGCCTTAAAGATTACAATATGACATTCAAAGGGAAGAGGATTTTAAAACAGCCACCTAGCTCAAAATTTACGAGAGAAGTAGATTTGTTTAAAGTGCCTTTAAAGTATAAAAGCAAGTAATATCAACATCTCGGTGGAGATGTTGAGTAGGTAGTTTGATCTAAAATCTGAAAATGGATCCCAGGCTGTCGTCAGCATGTACACGGTATTTAAAGCTGTGGGGCTTAACGCTCTTCAGGGGAATAAGAGTAGAGACAGACGGGAAGAGTTCGGATGGGTGACTCCGCCACACTCGATGGTCGGAGGGCAGCAAGTAGGAGAATCACAGAACGAGATGGAGAGGCATGGCCACACGAAAGCAGCTGACCCAACCAGTGTCCTAGTAGCCACTGGAAGAATATGTTAAATGGAGGGAGTGATCAGCCAGGTCGACGTCAGAGAGAGAGGAATTAAGATGCCTCCGTGGACTCAGAAATCAGGCACCCACTGGCGATCTTGACAAGAGCATCTCAGGTTTAATGTGTGATAGCTAGTTATTACTGTGTACCTACTATGCCATGCTCCCATCTATGTGTATCTGAAACAACACAGTACACCACCGCTCGTTTCATTAAAACAACCAAGCAACCAAACAAAAATGATTTTCATCGATAGAACTTCAGTGAGGAAGGAAAGGATAGTTATCCTTTTCTCTAAGTAATAATGACGTGTTCATAGTCATCTCATCTAGTTATGAACATTTTCTTGAACACTTTATTTTGTTTATTTGAAAGGCGGGTTACAAAGGGAGAGAGAGAGAGAGAGAGAGAGAGAGAGAGAGAGATTTTCCATCTGCTGGTTCACGCCCCAAATGGACACAATGGCCAGAGCTGGGCCAGATTGAAGCCTGAAACCAAGAACTTCTTCCAGGTATGCCACATGGCCCTTTTCCACTGCTTTCTCGGGTGCATAAAAAGCGAGCTGGATTGGAAATGGAGCAGCCAGGGCTTAAACTGGTGCCCTTATGGAATCCTAGCATCCTAGGAAGTGGTTTTACCTGCTACACCGCAAAGCCAGACCCTTAGCTATGAACTTGTTATGAGAGGCATAGAGACAGTGTCCTGTGTAAGGAAGAGGATAGAATTGAGAGAACTGAGTTCTAGTTCATGCCTGATGTACCATCAAGATTTTCCAGAAATATGTGTCTATACATATATAGGTTAAAATGTCATATACATATTTTATACACATACATGTATGTATAAAGATTTATTATAAATTACTGGTTTCTGTGATTATGGGGTTGAGAAATTCCGCAATCAGCTATCTGCAAGCTGAAAACCCAGTAAAGCTGCCAGTGCAAATCCTGCACCTGAGAGCCACAGAACTGACAGTACAGATCTCCGTCCAAGTACAAAAGCCAGGGAATCAGGAAAAAAAAAAAAAAAAAACAGCTCAAGCAATCAGGCACACAGAAAGTTCAACCTTCCTCTTTTCTTTTAATTGAAGCTCTCAATGGATCGAATTATGCCCATCCACATGGGGTAGGGGTGAGGGGACAGTCTGCTTTATTCAGGCCACTAACTCAAATGTCAGTTAACCAGAGACCCCCCTCACAGAGGCACCCAGAAATAGTGCTTATGTATCTGGCATCTTGCGGCTCAGTCAGGAGGACACATAAAATGAGCCGCACTCACCACCTCTAAACTGAATCGGTTTGGTCTCATTTCTAGAATAGATTTGGCTTCTTTTTAAAGTTCTCTTCCAATTCTAATCCTGTATTTCTGGATTGCTTAATAGATATTTTCAAATTTATAGTGCCTACAACAGCACCTAGCACATCATGGACGCTCCAAGAAATATGTGTTTATTGAAAAGTGAATATATGTGTCAAGAGTCATCGAGACTGACATTGATATGTTTAGAGACAGTGGCACAAGGCTAGGTTATGGGGCCACAGAGCTGGCAAGTAGCAGAGCCACTGGGTAGGTCTTCCTGCTTCAAAATTAGTGATGAATTTTTTCTGGATCTCAATATTTAAAATATTAAACCCTTCCATCCATAAAAAACACTTCTGTTTTTGCATGTTTACAGATATATGTATAGCAGCCAACCCAAATTGCCAAGACTCCTTGACTAATTTGTCTGGACTTCAGAGACCTTCAAGAAGTAAATATACACCTCGAATATATTAAGACTACTGATTTGGATACTACAGCATTATTTAAAATAGCGCAGAGTGTTCCTTTCATTAAAAGGCAAGAAAAAAATCATTGAAAGTGTAGAGGGGGGAAAAAAGGCGGGGAGTTTATTTGTTTGATTCCTCCAAATAAAAATGTCCCAAATTCCCACACAAGCAGAAACATAGTTAAGCTGCATGGTTCTGTCTTGAGTATGCAAATATCATAACCCAGTCTTATGTCAGCTTGGAAAGATAATGTCATGCAGAAAATTAAGACCATCTGACGAAATCATGGTATGAAATGTGGCTTGAGAGAGCAGCTTTTTGTGTGTTATGATTTGATATATTTTCACACCCAAACGCAAAGGAACAGGCAGGGAGCCTCAATTAATGCAACATTGGAAAATTTCAGACAAATTTACAAGGTGTTTACTGAGCAGAAAAGGGAGGGGGGCATCTCAAATGCTGTCTCCCTCTAACAGCTTTGATTTTGTGTTCTGTGTCTAAGGAACCAGAGGACTCAACTTTTCATTTAGAGTTTTGAATTTAATCTGATGGCAGTTTGGACATAATAATGATGCATTTATTGTTAATTTCCTTAAAGCCTTACTATCTAACAATGTAGACCATTATCATCCCCAGTGCTGTCTCTGTTTAGAGGGATTTCCATATTCCACCGTGCACAGGAGCTGACTGGAAAGCAAAGCTGAAGAGGAATATATGAGAAGCAAGAATATATTTCCTTAGTAACTAGCTGGGATTTTTTTCCTCTCTGCAGACCTGTTTTCCAGAAGATGAGAAAGAGACTTGACAGGACTTTATTGGTTCATAAATTAACTTGGTAGATTTACAATCATTACTTGGAATGCCAGAAACTCTTTTTAGGAACTTATTTTCAAGAGAGAAAAAGCATGTTGAACTCCGTATGAAACTGGCACCGGCACCCTCCCAGAAGACGGTGGTTTCGTTTGTTTTCACCTATGGACCCGATCCCATCTGCCAATGCCATGGTTATTTTTGGCCTAAAAGAGTATTTCAACAGAAATGTATGATAATGTTTTCTTTCTAGTGTAAGTGAAAAAACAATGAACTCTCATTAGCTATGTGATCTTTGAGATGCAGTCAATCAAGTTTGTTGACTTCTTTAAGAGGCTATGGTGAAGTCAAGAGGTCAAATGAGCACTGTGCAAGACCCTAAAGCACCCATTCCTTCCTGTTAACCTGCAAGTGCAATCCAGGAAGGAGCAAGGTTAGGTTACTATCTGGGTGACCTTCCCTTCCCCACCCCCACTGGAAGATGTAAATAATCCAACTTGCAGAGATAAATGGCCCCATCCTAAGCAGACCTCTGGGCTCAGGGTTCATGGGAGAGAGATTTTCCTAAGTGCCTAAGAGAAGGAGATGCTTCTATGCCCACAAGTGGTGGAGAGAAATTGGTCTACCCATCTCCTGGATCAAGCCTGTCTGTTTAATAGAGCTACCGGGAGGTCCCCAGCCCTCTCAGAAGGAAGGGTACAAGAGGACAAATATTTAAATTCAGAACCTTACACACTGTGGGAAAACATAGGAGACTAATGAAGAAACTGCCCGTTTGGCCAAAGCAAACTTGAGGCCCATTTTCCTGTGATCCAGGCAAGCAAAAATATATGTATATATATGTATTTTTTAATAGGATGGGGCTAATTATAGGAGGCAGAGAGTAGGTAAAATAGTTCCTTGTTTGGAAGCATCCACATATTTTCCTGAGATGAAGAGCAAATATTTGGTTTAAATAGCAAGCAATTTTCTATAAAAGTGCGACTGCTTGGGAACGCTCTATGATTTAGTGCTGCCTTTTAACCTGAAAAAATATTAATAACTGAGGAGCCCTTGTTGGTATCTTTATTATGTTTAAAGCCAAATAGCCATAATATTATAACTGGTGTGGCCACATTCAATATTTTTCTTTCATGAATGCAGCATGGGCTTATTAACGGAGACCAGAAAATAAAAATAGAGGCGACCTGGCAGGCCTTGGCTTTTCCATGGAGATACCATGGCCGCAAGGAGGCAGCTAACTCTTCCAGGAAGTGGGGCGAGCCACCACGAGTCTTCCCGCAGCCCCCTGCCTCTGTCACAGGGAGCACTTTCTCCACATATGGATCCATGTCATCTTTCAGCTGTTTTCTTCCGGCAAAGCCAGAATCCAGAACAGAATCGCAGTGAAAAAGAAACCTATAAATTAGATCTCTTTGTGAGCAATTTGCCGTTCCTTCTATTCTCCCTGCCTATTAAGATTCTTTATTTACTTCGCCGAGAGATTTCTGCTGACAAGTCCATCCATTTACCACTAGCCTAGATAAAATGATAATAAACAAAATGTCAAAAAATGTATTCATGGGACCTTCCCCATCCCCAAGCCCTCTCCTCCCAGTTTGTATCAGGCTGGTTTATTAAACAGCCATTGGAGCTAAAAAAAAAAAAAAAAAAAAAAGTTTAAAACTGGCATGTTGGTGGAGGCTTTTAGTTTGGTTCGTTGATTATATTTTATGATGGTGTTACATGATTTTAAAACATATATGTAATTACATAATATGTAATCTAAATATTGCTCACAAAACTGGGGACAATCAGAAGAAAGGCAAGCATCTTTTGGCTCGTGCTGCCTACAGCCCATCTGATTTGACTAATACTCAAGGCTCGAAGATGGGGAGGCTCAACAGAGGGACAC